TTTCAATAAGTTCCACTGTTTTGAGGCCACTGGCAGTATTCTACTCGGTTTTATGATTATATTTTAACATTTTGTTTTTGTTGTTTATAAAAGTCAGAGAAGATTACTACAGGAAATTTGAAACCATTAAAAAAATTATGTCTCCTGTTGTCAAATAACCTAGACTTTAACTCCTATATTAGTTTTGATACATTAACATTTAGTATCCAAAAAACTTACTGATTTTTGAGTTTTAATTGAAAATAATTCATTATTTCGATATTTTCTATAGTAATTGGGCCATTAATTTTCATATTGTTTTAGTATCTTTGTTTCAAAAATATTCTATGTTATTGAATATTTGTTGTAATGTTACTCTGAATGTAATATTCCTCCTTAAATTTGAGATTTAAATTAGAGCTTAAGTACAGATTGTATAGTCATACCCTATTTTTGTCTCTAACTTTGATGATTTTGATTGTTGTATGAATTAATAATTTTTCAAATTAATTTGGCCTTTGAAACTAGTACTTTTTATTATTTATTGATTATATATTTTTGTTTAAATTATTGAATTTGTCTGAAGTTTTTCTCTTGATTTCGTTTTGTCAATTTTGTTTTTCTAACAGCCTAGATGAATAATTTAATAACTTTTTTCTACTCTTTTGGCTTTAAAAATATTCTACCTTTGTTTTTCTAGTAATTTAAGGGTTTGTTATATTTTACTAAAAGGCCAGTTTTAGAATTCATCACAAATAATTTTTATAGTGTGTAAATAATCTTTCTAGATCTTGAGAAAAATATGCATTCCTGTATTTTACATAATTTGATGTGTTTAGCAAACCATATTAAATGATCTTACTTTACTTCTCTTTTCTTAAGAAATTTCTACTTAATTTGACAAATGTTAAAAAAACCTGGATTATAGTATTCCATAAAAATTGTATATTGATTTCTTTTATATCTCTGACATTTAAAAAATGTATTCATTGCCTTATTAATGAAGTATAAGGTAGAGAGGGACTTTTGTTGGCTAACAGTTTTGATTCTCACTTTATTTCCATTGATTTTTATATGGTAATTTCCTATCAGAGTCTAGCATTAATTTAACTATGTGTGTCAGGAACAGTTGAATTTTTCTATGTCTTAAATAGGAATTTGTAAGATGTTACATCAGAGATGTTAAATAAACATGATTTTAAAACATAGGTTTCCCTGGTTCCTACTGATGTCCATATTCTTTTGTACAATGCTCTAGGCCAATACAAGTTTATGATCTTTTCTCAAAAAGCAAATGGTTAAGCCATACAACTTTGGAAGTCTTTATAAAATGAACTTATCTTTTAATCTGCATCATCCAAGGTCTATTGTAATGGCAAATACAATGTTCTTCCTCAGTTAGTAATGTTCATATTATTCTGTAAACTCATATGTTAACCAAATTGCTCTTCAAAGTAGTTTATACTATGGCCATTGTGATATAAGATTCTGATTTACTTTTTAAGTGTGGATGTTGGTTTTGAAGAATATCTTTTGTCAAAATATAGTGATCACATAAATATCTACTACTCTATAACCTTCAGAAATTCTGTTCCTTCTTAGTACATATTGATAAGGTTTATTTTTCTTTCTGCCTTTAAATTGCTGTTAGGCAATTTCAGTTGTTCAGTTTCTAGATCACAATTATTAAGTTGCAAGACTCAAAAGTACCTTGTATAAACAAATATTCCCTATTTTTCAAATTTTTTCTTAGCATTTTTTTTCCTGTTCAGTTTTCCTTTTTTGAAATAACTTAGCTACAGTTTTTCTAATAGGGTTCTAGATAAATAATTTCACCTAATCTCGTCAGGGACTTTTGACCTAGTACTTGAGAAGTATCTCTCTTGAAGAAATCAAAGCCTCATTGAAACCTTGGGATGGCAGGTATTTTTTTTCTTGCCCACAGTAGAATCCCATTATGAAGAATATGTCTTGGAACATATCAGTAGTTCAGTAAATAGTTAATGAATAAATGAATGTTATCCTAGAAGGATGAATTAATAATGTTCATCTTAGCCTATTTATTCACTATTGCATTTAAGGCAATAATATAAATTTTAAGAGATAATGGAGTTTTCTGCTTCCAACTATGGTGGAATTGCTTGGTATTTAAAATTAAATTAAAAATCCAGACAAAACAGATATCCATTTGATGGCAGTGGAGAGACAATGAGGAAGCCACAATCCCTCCTCCTTGACACATATTTAACACCAATTTTTGTTTCTTGAATGCCAGAATATTGTTTAAATTGAGTTCTGCTTTCAGTGACCATATATTTTATATCTTAGGGACTAGCCCTGAGCAGATTAATACTTCAGTAAATATTTTAAGGGGAAAACGTAAAAGCATTATTGATTTTTTTTATGCTTACCTCTTTCTATTTGAGATCATTTTTTGGTTGATTTGCACTTCCTATTTTATCTTTGTCTTCTCTTTCATTAATGTGCATTTTCATCTTTATTAGTTGCCTTTTTCTCCAATAAAAAAGGGGTTAATTTGTTGCCTCTGCTTCTTAGTTCTTAGGGGTATTTACATCAGTGATTATCAGCCTTCATCTATATTTATATTTGATTCACGTATCACTTCCAGCACTATCTGTTTTTATTTCTTTTCTCAACTTTCATTTTCATTGGCAAATTTTTTTCTTATATTGCCTATTTTTATAGAATGTCACATAAATTTATCATGGGGAGACAAGGAAGTAATGCAGCTATACATTATGATTTATGTGCTTGAACTGAATAACTAAAGCCTAGTTATCAATAATTGACATAATTTGAAAGAAGTGATGTGTGTGTGTCACTGATCACGATGTACCTCTTTTATTTACATAGTGATTTCTGTACTGAAGTGTTAGTAAAGAAGTTTGTACTTTACACGATTATTCACAGTTGATAAACCATATGAACTGCAATTTGAACCCTAGTTTTGGGTGACTGGTGTTATTTAACTAAACCATGTAACTGAAATTTTCACATATTAGACCCATGTAAAATGAGGACTGAATATACACTATATATATTCAATTTCATTCATTATCAGGAATATATAAATTGAAGCTACAAATCCATACCACTATGCACTTAAAGGAATGGCTTTGGTAGGCAGAATTCTAAGATGACACATGACTCCAGTCCTTAATTTCCTTTATTGGGAAGATGATAGGGCATCACTATTGTAATTATTAGTTGGCAAAAGGGATTTTGCAGGCGTAATTAAGGCTACTAATAAGTTGATTTTGAGTTAATAAAAAAGGACATAATTGGCTGGGCACGGTTCCTCATGCCTGTAATCCCAGCCCTTTGGGAGGCCGAGATGGGTGGATCACCAGGTCAAAAGATCAAGACCATCCTGGCCAACATGGTGAAACCACATCTCTACTAAAAATACAAAAATTAACTGGGCATTGCACACACCTGCATTCCCAGGTACTCGGGAGGCTGAGGCAGGAGAATAGCTTGGACCTGGGAGGCAGAGGTTGCAGTGAACTGAGATTGCACCACTGCACTCCAGCATGGTGACAGAATGAGACTCCATTAAAAAAAAAAAAAAAGGAAATAGTCTGGGGATGCCCAACGTAATGACATGAGCCCTTTAAAAGCAGAGAGAATTTTTTTTCCCTAGATGGCAGCAGCAGAAGAAATCAGAGATATTTAAAGCATGAGAGGGCTTCAATGTGAAGAGTGTTCCCCATTGCTGAGATAGATGGGCCATAGGCCATGAACCTGTGAGTAGCCCTGGAAGCTAAGAGTGGTCCCTAGACACAGCAGCTAGCAAGGTAAAAGGAGACTTGAATCCTGCTACTGGAATGAAGTAAATTTTGTTAATCTGAGTAAGCCTGGAAGTGGATTCCTTACACGGAGACATTAGATAAGAGCCCAGCCTGGCTGACACCTTGATTTTCACCTTGTAAGACCCTAATCAGAGAACCTGGTTGAGCCCATCTGGACTTCTGATCTCTAGAACTGTGAAATAATAAATGGATGTTGTTTTAAGCTGCTAAGTTTGCGTTAATTTGTTATGCTGCAATAGAAACTTAATACAATATTAAAATTTTAATAAGAAAAATCTGATAAAACCAAGTGTTGGTGTGGATGTTGAACAACTGAAACTCTCTATTGTTGGTAATGCAAATTAGTACAGACAACTCTGAATCATATTTAGCAGCAGCTACTAAAGCAGAACATAAAACATGACTATATCCTAGAAACGATTACAGCTTCTTGATATTTTTCCAATATAAATATATTTGTGTAGTGTTTAAAAAAGTACAAGAATGTTTATGGACAATTGAAATAGCCCCAAATTGAAAATAAACTGTGTTCATTGTTAATTAAATATATAAATAAATTGTAGTATGTTCATCCAGTGGAAAGCCACACAGCTATGAGAATGAACCAGCTACTGCTAGACATAGATGAATCTTATAAGCACACATTGAATGAAATAAATCACACATAAAAGAATATGCTCACAAAAGAATATGATCCCATTTGTATAAATGTCAGAAATAGGCAAAATTTATTTATGGTTATGTAAGTGATGATAATGGTTAAGTTCAGAGGCTACAGTAGTGTTTGGGAAGGGGAACCATAGGAGGATTTGGGGTACTTGTGATGCACTGTTTATTGATCTTGATGCTGACTTAGCAGGTGTGGTCATGTTGCAAGGATTCATTTAACTGTATATGTATAACTTTTGTACTTTTCATTCTTTGATTAAAAGCTTTTTGAGAAAAGGACTATAAACTGTTGGCAATATCTTTTCCACCCCAGGGTTTAAAAAAGAAAAGTTACCCAAGGTTATGTAACTAGTGAGTGAAAAGACTTAGAGTAAAAAATATTTAAGAATAATTTAATAATTAATATTTTAGTTGAATTAGACCTTTTATTAGAGTAAATATAGAAAGGAGAAAAAGAAGTGAGAATAGTTCATAAATAATTTTGACATTTATAAGTCTTTGGTTTTTTTGAACAAACAGTTTGCCGAGAGGATTCATATCACTCTGTCGTCTCTTGTGCTGCTGTAGTTCTTGCTCCTATGGAACCAACAATAGAAATGAAGAAAAGAGAAGAACCAAAATTTCCTGAGCCTTCCAAACAGTGAGTTGTTGATTTAATTTTCAAGGTCTTGTAAAATCAATTAGATAACTGATCAGAAAATGTGATTAATAATAAATGTGTTAATATTAGTATAAAGAAAGAACATATAAATTTTGTACATTAAAAAATAATCTATTCCATATTATCTCAGTGAATAACTTCTGTGTCTTCTAACTTCATGTGTTTGAACCATGTGCCATTTAAGTTTCATTTTGTTTCCTTATCTTAAGTACATGGGCAAGTAGGCTGATGTACTTTATTTCCCTACTCTGGGATTGTGGATACGCTTTCTTGGATTGCTTACTATACAGCTATAGGCTTCGATGATATAAAATGAAATCAATTTTTAATATAAAATTTTTAGTTTAAAGTTGGTTTGCATTTTTATAAGGAAGGTAAGTTATTTTAAAATATTTTTTATTAAATTAGAACAAATTTATACTGTTTAGTGTTTTCATATTTTTCCATTTAAACAGTTCAAGCTTTCATTTAAATTTAAATTTCATCTTCTATTACATAAATGATAAACTTGCACTCTTATAATGACCAAAGAGAATTTTAAGTTTATGATGATAAATGTAAGCTTATGTGGACATCAAATATTAACTAAATGGGGATTATTTATACTTATACATTAAATACATGACAAGGAAAAACATGCCTCCTTTAAGGTTTCAGCTTAGCGATTAGGTGATATAAGGTGCTGCCAAGGATTTTAGGCTGACCGTCATAGGAGTGAGGTAGAAGATATCTTGATGTACCTACTATTTTTCTCCATTGGATTACACTGTATTATACTTACTTGCTTCTTGTATATCTTTCTACTGAGTAATAAGCTCTTAAAGCATAATTGTGTTTGATACTGTTTGTGAATAGAGCAATATATGTATTTGATTGCCTGAAGATATTCACTATTCATATTCTCATTATGGAGGGAAGAAACACTGACCAATTTAGAAAATAATGATTGCAATTCAGTTTTAATACAATCCAAAAGTAAGATAATTTAACTGCTCTTCATATGGTCTTAGTTTTTAAATTTCAAAAGCCATTTTTGTCTAATAGAAAATTGCATCACATGTTTGCCAATTTAGTTATATTAGAAAGCTCAAATGTGTTTTCCTGCAACACACACACACACACACACACACACACACACACACACACACCTTTCCTTGTTTGTTAATTAGGGTGATTTCACCACCCTCATTGTTAGTATTATGTGAAATGATACTGAGAAGGGACCTGAAATCTAATAATCCATACAGTTCTAGTTATGTTGCCCCTTCCATAGCTTCAGCTATCAACATTATGAGTGACTTACGGTTATCTATTCTTTTCATGAAGGCTCTTCTGAATGTGAAACTAATGAAGTTGTTGATCAGACTTGTCTAACTAGGCATCCTACCGAGTTGTCATGCAGGACAAATATCCCTTATCCAAAATGCTTGGGACCAGAAGTGTTTCAGATTACAGATTTTGAGCATCCCAAATCCCAAAATCTGAAATTTGGAATGGAACAACAAGCATTTCCTTTGATCGTCAAGTTAACACACAAAAAGTTTCAAATTTTGGAACCTTTGGATTTTGGATTTTAGGGTTTGGGATATTTAACCTGTAATAAACATACGTCTGAAGCCAGATTAATAATCTCCTCTAAATTCTCCTTAAATTTTTAAGTTGTTCCATATTTAAATAAAACTACTATCATTTTACTTGTCTTAAAATCTTGGTACATTTTCTTCCTCACATCTCATATTTAATCAGTTATCAATTACTTGATTAATGTCTTCATTATATTTTATTATTTCAGCTGAGTTGGAAGGTGTATATATCCCATATTTTAATTTTTCCTAAAATATATGTTTATTTGTAATCTTAATGATGCCATCTATCAAATGGAAATTATGTCCTATATACCTCACGCTATGATTTTGAGAATTAAAAGATAGGTGTGAATATATGACAAGAACACAGTATAAATGCAAAGACAGTGATTAACTCAAACTTCTTGTTTGCCAGTGAGAGAAGCTAAATGCTAACTGGTTTCAGCAAAAAGACTTAAGAGTGGTGGTGGTTATTGGCTCATGCGTTTTAAAAAGTACAAAGGTGGCAGTTTCTTCAAGTACAGTTTTGGTTCTCAAATGATACCCTCAAGGATCATTCTCTTTTATCTGGGGTTTGTATTTTCTGGGAGGCTCCTCTAGTGGTGATATTGCTGCCTTCAGCAGCAACTGGGATTGATTTATATTTTCTCTATAAATCCAGTGGAAGCAGATAATTTCTCATTCCCTTTAATCAAAACAAAACAAAAAAAAACCAAACCAGATTTGAGTGTCATTGGATTGGCTTTGACTAGCTTAGTTTGTTTGACACAGCAATTCTGACACAATTGCTATATCCAAAACTATTTAATGGAGATTAATTAGTTGATGTTACATGAGAATGAAATTGAGAGGGGAAAAGTGATTCCACAATTGAGATATTGGTGATATTGATAAAAGAAGGCAGAGATAGATGAGGTGTCAAAATAATGAATGTTCAATATAGTAATATTATCATCATTAATTTTAAAAGTCAGAATTCTATATTATATTTAATTTATAAACATTGAAATACTAAAATATGTATGTATCTTTATCTCTTATTTTAAATATTTTTTTACTTATTTAATTTTATTTTGTTATTTATTCTGGCTGTACTATTGAGAGGCAGTATAACTCAGTGGTTAGGAATCCAGGCCTTGGGCAAATTCTTTTTTTTCCCCCCCAATTTTCTTAAGCCCTGGGCACTGTGGCTTGCACCTGTAGTCCCAGATACTCACGATGCTGAGGCAGATGGACCACTTGAGCCCAGGAGTTTGAGGCTGCAGAAAGCTGTGACCATGCCACTGCCTTCTCCAGACTGGGTAACAAAGCAAGACTCCGTCTCTAAAAGAAATAATAAATAAATAAACCTTCTTAACCTTAGTTGGTGTGTTTCTTTTTAATGTGGGAGATACTTTATCTCATGATGCAATGCCTAAAATGTAATAGGGAGGCAAGTACATCTAAATTTTGTAATTTTTTTTACAACAAATATATTTGTCAAATAGCCACACCAGCTTTTTATAAATGGAGTTACTAAAGCCCTGTAAGATATTAGTTTTGTGTATTTTGGATTTCCCGTCATAAAAAACATAGTAGATAGGGCTAGGTGCGGTGACTCACACCTGTAATCCCAGCACTTTGGGAGGCCAAAGTGGGAGGATCACTTGAGGTCAGGAGTTTGAGACCAGCCTGGCCAACATGGTGAAACTGCATCTCTACTAAAAATACAAAAAAATTAGCCAGGCATGGTGGCAGGCACCTGTAATTCCAGCTACTTGGGAGGCTAAGGCAGGAGAATGGCTTGGACCTGTGAGGCAGAGAATGAACTGAGACTGTACCACTGTACTTCAGTCTGGGTGTCTGGGCAACAAGAGCAAAACTGCGCGGTGGCTCAAGTCTGTAATTTGGGAGGCCAAGGCGGGTGGATCACGAGGTCAAGAGGTCGAGACCATCCTGGTCAACATGGTGAAATCCTGGCTCTACTAAAAATACAAAAAATTAGCTGGGCATGGTGGCGCGTGCCTGTAATCCCAGCTACTCAGGAGGCTGAGGCAGGAGAATTGCCTGAACCCAGGAGGCGGAGGTTGCGGTGAGCCGAGATCGCGCTGCAAAAAAAAAAAAAGGTTGAGACATTGTCTTTGGGCAACTAATATTTCCTTTTAATTTAGGATGGCGTTACTTCTTTAAGTAAATCTTCTTGAATTTTCAGCCTTCACATATAAATACTTAAATCATTGAATCTTTGAAATATAGGATTCATAGAGTCATCTAATTCAGAATCCAGTAAATGTGTTGCTAAGAATAACTGGAATAGTCATCTCAGAATATGTAAGGCTGTACATAAGAGAATATGTAATATATAACTACATCATTTTAGAAGGTAAGAAACATTTTATGATTGGGATATTTGTATAATCTAACCAACTTTGAGCAATATTCTAATGGTAAATATTTTAATTTTGACAATTTGTTATTAAATATTCTCAAGTATTTATTAGTTTTTAGACATTTCATAAGGAGAAATAAGAATTAGAAACTCCTACTAAAAATGAAGTATACATTTTTCAGCAGAGGAAGTGATAGGGAGAAAGTACCTAAATCTTTTAAGAAAGAAAGCTACATTGCAGATTACAGCAGAAGAGGACCAGAGCTTTCCACCTACTTGTTGCAATATTTAAAATTCATCTTAATTCAGGAAACAAAGGTGGGGATTCTACTTCGCTTCTGAGTTCAGTTTGATATGTAACTCAGAATACTGTGGAAAGGATAAACTTGCTGGAAAATAGAATAATCTATGTAATCCAAAAAGAGTATACAATTTTCAAATCTTTAATCATAAGAATAGAATTCTTGGTTCAAAACTTTGAGTGTGACTGTTCACAATAGCCAAGTCGTGGAATCAGCCTAAGTACCAATCAACAGATGGTTGGATTAAAAAAAATATGGTACAGATAAAAAAAGAGTGAAATCATGTTCTTTCAGCAACATGGATGGAGCTGGAGGTCATTATCCTAAGTGAATTAACTCAGAAACAGAAAATCAAATACCGCATATTCATACTTATAATTGGGAGCTAAATAATGGACACACATGGACATACAGGGGGGAATTATAAATTCATAAAAATCCACCTGTTAAAAATGTTCCCAATTATCCAGCTACACTCAGCATGTTGCTCAAAACTCTACATTTCTCAAGTTAGTTCTATGTAAACGAACATTTTATAACATATACATAAAACTCAAACTCTGAAGAGAATGAAATAATAACCATGATTGGCTTTGCATTATATTTTGTATTAATACTTTGCTAGAAGTATGCTTGTTGAAATGCAAGTATTCTGTACATACCATAGCTCAATGTCTGAAATGAAGGGATTTTTATGGCCATTGTAAGGTTAGAAATGCAGAG